CCACTTGTGGGTGGCGACGCTTGTTTGGTCGAACGACCCTTTCAACAGGTGTAGGTAGCCTAAGACCATCGAAAAAACACATTTATTGAAGTTATAATATAATAACGGTAACAATTGTATGTTTGGGGGTCGCCACAACATTAGGAACTGTATTAAAGGGTTGAGAACCACTGTTGGAGGTTGAGAACCTGTTCCTTAGATGCTCACCTGTGGATCCGAAGGTTGTGGGTTTAGGTCCTGACGGCCATGAAAGTCATCACACTATTTAGACTCTAAATTACCAGTTGACGGCGACCGTTTCTTTTGTTATTTGACACTTTGATTTATAGTCTCGTTTTTGTGATTTTTGGAGGAAAGGAGGTCCTTGCCATATGCTCAGTGGGGTTGCCAGCTGGAAAGTGTTGGTGATCACTGGCTGCTCCATTGTCTTCTTGGTCTGCCTCATGGTCAGCTTACATCCAACTCTGTTGGCTACACAGTTCCTGGCACTTTTCAAGAGATTTCCTGGCACCTACTTCTGCGTGGGTAAACACTGGAGTCCAGGTAATTGAGAAAGATATTCAGCTCGGTGAAGATTCGAACTAGTTTTCTACATGGCCTACATTTAAGATGCCATTTACCACCTCACTGCCTCTGCTCCCATAACCCAGTGAGGCAACCACTAACAGAACTCTGTAATGAGTAAGCACACTGGCCATGTCATTGAAGATCCATTCATGTCTATTTTTATCGCTGACGTGCACAGTGCTCAAAACTGGGTCATGACAGTCAGTAAATAAGATGGTAAATAAGCAGGATTTGATATGGCTGCAAATCCAGGGACCATGAGGACAGAACGAGAATTGGTGAGCTCACGCCCTAAAGTTATGATCTCTTGGCACCAGGCAATAGTCAGAAAATGTCCAGTGTACATTTCTTTAGTTGTACACTTTATTACAGCTGGTCTAAATTTCATCGTTCCTCATACTCCTCCTCTTTCATCATCATTATCATCATTAACTCCTTCTTCTTCTTCTTCTTCTTCTTCTTCTTCTTCTTCTTCTTTTCTTCTTCTTTGTTCTTCTTCTTCTTCTTCTTCTTCTTCTTCTTCTTCTTCTTAGCGTTTGTTGTTCTTTTGGCTTCTTCTTCTTCTTCTTCTTCTTCTTCTTCTTCTTCTTCTTCTTCTTCTTCTTCTTCTTCTTCTTCTTCTTATTCTTCTTCTTCTTCTTCTCCTTAGCGTTCACCTGTTGTAAACTCTGACAGAAAGTTTTGGCTGTTCGTCCAATTCTGGTCTTTGATCTTGTTCCAGCAAATGAGTTTTGCGTGCATCCGCGTTTCATAGATCTGAATTATTTGTATGCAGACGGTTGATTCATCGCGTTTCAGGCAGATGCAATCCGACTTCGAAGGAAACTCCCTTAATTAGTGCGACATGTTTGATAAGAAGGCAGTAGGTCCATCCCCCACCCCTCCCCAAAATGGAACCCCGGAACCCACACAGGGACAACGTCAATCAAACATCAGATTTAGCCGCAGTAGTGTAGTGGCTAAACGCTTCGCCAGCCGGTCTGACGCTCGTGAGTTCAAGTATGCACCATATGTCCCCCCCCCCCACCTCAAAAACGACCTTGTCTCATGCCTTAAATGGGTACCAGATACCCTATACGCAATGGAGGGAAAGGTCCGTTTCCTATTTTCTTCTTCTTCTAAACAGCGGGGACCTTAGGAGATAAGACTATAAACCCATATAAATAGGCTTGGTTCAACACGTAGAAGATATATTAAAGTAAAGTACAAGAACTTTTTCCATGCCTTCTCAGTGGGCATCTAGGGCTAACCCTATATTTTATAGACCAATCGGCCGTTAGTGAGCTATGTGGTTAACATCACGTCAGCCGCCTTTACGTCCCAGGTCTGGCTCTGGTAGCAGTTTAAGGCTGAGTGGACCATGGAGCCATGGCATGTTTGGAGGAAAGGTCCGGTTCCGTCAAGACCTGAACCTACGACCTTCCGTTCTGCAGGCGAGCGTCTAGACGCTTGACCACGGAAGTTCCCGCAGAAGTAAATACGACTCAAACAAGTAAGGCAGGTCATTAGAATGGCTAGACCGCTACATCTATAGTTGACTGGTACTTGTAGTTGACTGGTACTTGTAGTTGACTGGTACTTGTAGTTGACTGGTACTTGTAGTTGACTGGTACTTGTAGTTGACTGGTACTTGTAGTTGACTGGTACTTGTAGTTGATTGATACTTGTACTTGACTGGTACTTGTAGTTGACTGGTACTTGTAGTTGACTGGTACTTGTAGTTGACTGGTACTTGTAGTTGACTGGTACTTGTAGTTGACTGGTACTTGTAGTTGACTGGTACTTGTAGTTGACTGGCACTTGTAGTTGACTGGTACTTGTAGTTGACTGGTACTTGTAGTTGACTGGTACTTGTAGTTGACTGGTACTTGTCTGAAGCAACTTACAAAATTAAAATATCTGGAAAATACTCGGATATTCTCGGAGGGCAGCAGAATTGATCGGGAAATAGAAACAAGATGCCAGCGAGCCAGTGCACGTATGTACCAACTGATACCGTTATTTAGACATCCAAACATAATTATGGGTGTCAAGAAACAGATTAGAAACATCCTATTCATACCAAAGGCCGAGTGGTTACAACGTCGGGCTCTTATGCAGAAGACCCGAGTTCAACCCACGGAAAAGTGATGGTAGTTTTTCTATCGGTGGTCAAATTAAACATCCTAACCTGTACAGTTCGTGGCGACAGCATTAGACAGGTATCCCTAAACCTTCAGGCTCAAGCCTTCCCCTCCCCTTCCCCTGCCCCCGTCTACACTGCCATAAAATGTGGTTAAAAACAGTAGTGACATTGTCTTTAATTCACACCAACATTGTAATACCAGTGCCATATTTCAAACGCTAACCTACGTACAATTGACAAACTATAAAATGAGAGGCCCTAGGAAAGTGGTCGGCCTAACTATCGTAGACAAAATGGGAAACGATGCTATAAAACCAGCCGTGGGAGCAACACCGTGCACACAATTCACACAGAAACAAGATCTAATTGTTTGGTCATGTCGCCAGAATGCCGCCACAACAATTGCCAATACAGGCGCTACACTTGAAAACCTCCGATATGAAAGTAAGAGTGGAGAATATGGACAGAGGAGTTAAAGACCTTCTTCGTCGACACAGAATGACAGTAGTCATTGCTTCCTATAAAGCAGTGCATCGCGGATCAGTTCCTCTCCGAGCTGTTTATCGACAAAAGTGGAAATTGATGATGGTTGAGGGAGTGTATGGATTTCAGGCGGCGAACACACTCATTGAATGGACCAGTGCACGCACGTGTACATAGTAGGCAACAATGCTGGCTAGGCTGCACGGAAAAACAACAATAGTTTGCACCTGCAAACACATTTGTACTGTGTGTTCCCCCTCCTCCCTCCTCACTTTTACCCGCTGTGTGAATTGTTCGCGTGTTTGCCTTACCCTGCAGGTTTGGGGATCCCAGTTAGTTAGTTAGTCAGTTAGTTAGTTGGGTTATCCTCAGACACAACTCCCCTTAGTATAAACCCCACCGTCCGATGGCCCAGTTCTATGTTGATAAGCGTGTCGTAAAGTCTCGTTTTTTTGCTGTGCGATCTAATTCCCAAGTCTGCCATTCTGGAGTGATGTCATACTCAGATCGGCCTTTTTGATAATATTAGCGTGTCCTTAGTCATAGGCAGTGATCAGCGACGAGTTCCAGCAAGGACGAGATTGTGGCCGCACTGTGTGAACCCTATTTCCATATGAGTATACAGTAGCCAGAGCTTGCTCACTCTCACCTCCATCGTCATGCTTGGTTGTCATGGAGAAGGCGCCGTTCCCATGCGCTTCTTCTTTGGCGTATAACGGATCCGTCTGTATAGATTAAAAATTTTCACGACGGGCGTTGACCTCTGCACAGAACAGGATTCTCTTCTCTACATAGCCTGTTAGTGTGACAATAAGGTGTTGCCTGTACTCATCACAGTGTGTCGGTTAACTGCACAGTAGCGCTGAAAAAAAGCGCTTGATGCATGATGCTTTAATTACCCCTTGAAGCAGTCAAAGGGCGCCTAAATTAGGGACAAGCTCAGATCGGCCTTTTCGTGTCTTTCAGGCAGTGATCCGAGAGTTCCAGCAAGGACGAGATTGTGGCCGCACTGTGTAATATTTCCATATCAATAGCAGAGCTTTTCTTTGTTTCTAGATAAAAACACGGCACCAGTCATTGCCGCTGAAAATATGATGCTTTAAAGACAGACAGGTGTACTGCGTACCCTCTAGAACGAAAGCCATGGTTGGCAGCCATTGTCGCTGCCGGATTTTCTGTACATCCAAGGCCTCGATCTCAGTTCGATTCAGAGAGGCAGGTATGTTTTTATCTAAACGCATCTTACATAATTTTAAATTGGACTGTTGAATGTTGTTAGCATTTCACAACATGCTCACTGCTGTTGCACAACGGATCATCTACACAACTGCAGTAACATGCCACCCTCTCCCTGCCGCTGGCACCACAGGCTGGCCGAGCGAGGGAATCTCTTTTTCTGAGCCCAGCCATTGGCCGGCCGGCTTCATCGATCCTAAAATAGCTATTGTGACTGACGTCTGCTGGCGGTATATAAGCCCTCGGGAATCCCCCGTCCGGTGTCTGTCGTTGCCTTGCTCGTCGGCGGAAGGTATAGACTCGTCGGTTCCTTGGAGTGTTTGACGGATTAAAACTTATTCTGTCTCCAGGACGTGAAAGTGACTGATTTGTTTCCGACTGCTTGTTGAAAAAGATTCATTCTGTAAGGATAAACTTTTTTGGTTATTTAGTGTGGTTATATTTGTTGGCCACCAGCTGAACAAGATCGCATCGAGTGCAGCCCTCACAAACTATCACTGACCTACTAAGCCGGCAACTGCTAGGATCCAGATTAGACTCGAAAGTGGTCAACTGACATCAGCAGGTAAAGTTACAGTAGTCAGAAGGGATGGATCAGCTTGCGGAAAGTTACATTGAAAGTTTCGATCTTTTTATGGATAGCGGTGATCTACAACAGCTGCACAGCGCCTTGGTGAAGTCCGAGCTAGGGCTGTGTAATGATGCAGCAAGTCTCCAGCCCCGGCACATCTTCCCCAGTGCCGAGGTCACCGATCAGGTCACCGGACAGATGCAAGCACACGAAGGCCCCACACAACAACTGTCAGCTGTTGCAGGCGATGTTGTTGCCTACAATCACAGATCACCCATCAACTCCATGCTGACACCTCCTGCCACCCCACTGCCGGCCTCCCAGCAGACACACCCGACTCCTACGCGATCTTTATCCAGTTTTGGCAGTGCATTCGGCGATCGAGGATATTTTGAAGATTGGTTTTTAAAGTTAGGATCGCAATGCTCGACTGCGAGTGTTAGCTTGGCTAACAGTTCTCAGTCAAACAAGCAGGACATCAAACCGAATCCTCTTGATGAACTACTTAGATCGATCGAGCCGCAGCTTGTCCCCCACAGTCCGGTTTCCCCCTCTATCAAATCAGAAAGCAACGACATATCTGGGCGCACAAATAATGAATTCGACCTGGATTTTGATGAAGATAACGAATTAGATGTAGAGGATGACGACGATGACGACTCGAAAAGTTCAACATGTGAATCGGCTGCATCGTTCAGGAGGTCAAGGCGAAGCTCCATGACGCGATCACCAGGCAGCCCGTTATCTCCGGAGAGTTCATTTATTGACGACGATGATCTGGTGTCGTTACCTGTTCGTGAACTGAACAGGCGCCTACAGGGCTGTCCTAAAAGCGAAGTGCAACGATTGAAACAGAAACGACGCACTTTAAAAAATAGAGGATATGCGCAAAACTGTCGTTCCAAACGCATGCAGCAAAAAAATGAACTGGAAACGACAAATAAATCACTGGTACAGAAAATAGCAGATTTGAAACGACAGTTGAGCACTTCTGTAAGAGAACGCGATTTTTTTAGGCAGCGTTGTCATCTCCTAAAAAATGAATTGGTTCGAGCCACCCGAGCCCATATTTCTAGCCTGCGAAATGAGCCTGGCTTCGCAGAATTCCTGGCAAGATTAGCCGAAGATGATAGTTTCAGCAGCACCGCAGCAAGCTCCACCATAAAGGCAGCTAAAAATGTTGACAGTGAGAACTTTTAATTTAAGTATTTCATCTTGAATGAAGTTTTATATCTTGTAATGTTTCCCTGATTGCCATCAGGATCTCTGATTTCAGTTAACAATACAAGCAACAGCAGTATGGTGTGAAAACTCCAAACATTAGTTGGTCGGTGCTTTACTGTGTAATAGTAATACATCATTAGAAGTTCCAGACAGGAATAAATTGCACTGATATGTTTCCGTCTACGATCCTGAGCATTTTTTAGCCTCACTGATGTGAACATGCTATAATACCTAGCTACCTGAACATTGATATAGTTTTTATGATTTGTGCAGCAAATGACTTCATCCAGAAATAAATGTTACCTGCATTGTTGTTGTGAATATTAGCATATTTGCAATCAGCTCATACATGTTTGTTTTTCCCACTTGGAGAAGCCACCAGCGCAGCACTATTTTTGCACATTTGTCCCTTTCTGCAGCCGTTTCATATTTGTGTGATATGTGAAGAATGCAGTTTGTTACCCTTTTCTTTCGTTATTTACCAAGGGGCAGCAACAAATTCCCGAACATTTTACCAGTTTCATACAAGAAAACCATTTCATGGGTTGAAATGTGGTTACTCAAGTTGTGTGGGTTCCTAAACCGCATTTTAGGGTGAGGTTTTGTTGACTCATAATCATTACCATTACATTATACAAGAGCTGTCCAACTGGCAGCGCACGGGACCGGTCCGCCTGCAGAGACCACAAATTATTGACTTTAATTAATGATCTTTAATTAATGATTTTTCTACGCTGGGGCTCAGGCCTCTTCTCCAGTGACGATCATTATTTTCAACATTTTGACTTCTGAGTTAAACTTAGTTGAATAGCCCTACAAGATTTGTATATACACACTCTTGATTTAACAGGCATATCATGTTTTCAAAATTATTCAATGCTTGACTTGTAAAAAGTATAGAGACAGTATTTGTGGCAGCTAATGGGACAAAAATTATAATGAATAATATCATCCTTAATTAATCTTCTTGTTTCGCATTCTGTTTTTGGTGAAACTTTTTGCCTTTAACCTGCCAAGGGCCATTTGGATATTTATAACAACATTCAGGGCTAAACAGAATTATCAGTTTAAAATTTGCCTCCTACAGTTGGTTAAGAAGTGAATTCTAATTGTCTTTGTGGGGCCAGACTAAGTGGTTTCATCATCCTTATGTGACTCTGCACTAAACATTTGTTTGATTACAAAATAAAATAGTGACTCTATAAATTATATTTGAATTCATGGGCTTCTTCTTCTTCTTCACTTCCTCTTTTACTGCTGTGGGTGTTGAGGGAGATATAAGGTTCTGTTTCTAGCTCTTCTGGCTGCCTCGACCATAGGCACATTGTGCTGTTGTAGAGTTTCTCTGATGTTATTCTTCCATATTGTTCTTGGTCTACCTCGTGCTCTACGTCCTTCTTCTCTTTCCATGTATGCTTTGTATGGTATGGTGTCACAACAGGATGTAACAGGACAAAGTAAGGGATTGCTAGGTGTGGGCCAAGTATGGTGTGGCCACGTGCCACGGGACCGCTACAGTAGCCATGAAGGCCACCCTGGGTCACCCCGAAACGTCCTTGCCAACGGGGCATTGGTGAAGTTGCGACAGGCCTAGCAAGCCGTCAGTGGATTTATTATCGCTACAGAAAACACAATGAGATATATAATTCATGGGCTGCTGGTTTTAAAATTGGTGTGTTAAATCAAGTGTTTATGTTTTGTTTAAAAACTTAGCAGGTGATTTGGTTGTAATATTTCATGACCCAATTACTGAGTGTAGAAAGCCACTGTGGTATAGTGACTAGACGTTAAATTTGGGAGCTAAAGGTCATGGGTTCAAATCTGTAATGAGGGTTCCCCTGAAAATATCCTTGGCACCCACCCATCCTCAAATGGGTACCGGGTAAAGTCCTTGGAAATAAAGGCGGCCAGCATAATGCTAACCACATCCCCAACCGAATTCCGATTGGTCTATAAAATATAGATCTAGCCCTACATGCCCAGTACACTTGAGGATGTGGGAAAGCCTCCCATTAGTTAATGAGTGTGTGCTTTTTTGCCGGTGCTGTGTTTTGCAGCAGTAGGAATATACATGGAGCTTCAATTGAAAACTGGAAGTGATAGAATAGGGTTTGATATTACCAGAATAATTGTCATGTTAGGGCCGCTACCTGTTAGAGTTTGATGTGCATCATTTCAACTCTGGAAGGATACAGACTTGCATTTAAGACATATTTTAAACTCATACTGTTGGAATAGCAGTATTTTTGGCCAGTAATCTTTACATTCATTAGCCATTTCATTTTTGTTTTGTTTTGTGATTCTATTTATAACAACAGCACCGTGTTATATCATTTTAGAGCAGTTACATGGAAACATGGATCATTAAACACGAATACAGAAATGTGAGATGTTGAAATCATGAACCATACTTGGGTAACAGTTGAGTTCCTTTATGAGCTGAGATTATTTGTTGACCATGTCACTTGCATCCATTGGCTATTTGTAGATCTCAGCATCATGTCTTTCCTCTGGGAAGGGGGCGAGGGTTGCCATTCTATCCCCCTCCCCCTCCCCTAAAGATGCTTTTCACAGCTCTGTTTAATCTGGGACTTCGAAGGCAGTAGATCTGCTTCTTCTCTTGATAGGTGGAGACACGTTAGAATGTCACCCATCGTAACGTTTTGACCCTTAGGTAACATGGTTCTATAGAGGCAAAGATAAATCTGAAGCAAAAACTACATTTCACTTATGTTTTTCAGCTGCTGTGTATGAATGTTAGAGGGGCGCACAGGAAAAATGTAGAATATTAAAACTGTTACCTACTTTGATTCTGATAAGAATCAGCTGAGAAGAATCACCATGCATCTGACTATAACTTTAGCAGAAGAATCCAGTCATAAAGAACTCAGTTAAATGCTTGGTGGTCTGTGCTCCACAGGGTGATGAAAAGTTTAAGAAAAAAAGAAGAAAAAGCAGTAGTAGAAGAAAATGAAGAAAAGAAGAAAAAGAATTTATCTGCTAGAAAATAGATAATTCTAGCATTTGGTGAAATGTAATATGAAATCTTCAGATAGGTTACCTGTTTACCAACATTTCATATTAACAGATGAAACAACATGTTTAAAGATGTCTGAGTTGGGACTGAAGCAGATGCTGCAAGAGGAGTGATTTGAGGGGTCAATCATATATGTTTATATCTTATATGTTACAGTAGCTTACATCATACCATTCATCACAGTATACGCTATTCGGAATAAGAAACACCAGCTACTGAAAGGAACATGTAGTCTCATAATCTGACATTCAAAATTTAAGAGTGAAATTGATCATATTGCACAAACAAGAATACCTTAGGGCTCTATCAATCAGTCGACAGGTCTTTTTCATCTAAGTCATTGATATGTTTTGGTGAACTGTGTACAGGCTTTCCCATCAACCAATAAAAATGCGGCTTTGGATACATATGCATTTTTTTTAACAGTATAGTTTGAATTGTGTCAGGTTTTTAACACACTAAAATTTTTTATAGTTTGGAAAACACCTGATAATTGTTGTCATGTTTTAGTGTTTTAAATCCTTTTTAAAGCTTTGCATTTGTTACTGCAGCATATGTAATCATATTATGTTTTTTCGTATGGAATATATCTTAGCATGGAATTTTGTCATAAACTTGGCTACCCATAGTTGGGCCAGTATGTTGCACTAAACAGTTGTGTCTTTCCTCGTTATTTTCCACTGCAAGATGTACATTGTGTACAGAAGTTTTATGTTTTTCTTTTAGCTTGTGATAATATTCTCATATTTAAAATGTATATTTATAATACAATTGTTTTGCAAGTGCTCATAAAAATCAGTTGTTGTGGGCTGCAGACATATTTTAGCAAAACTGAAATCCACATGGTAGATGTAAAACTGTGATTGCACTAACAGCGTGAAGTTTGAAAGATGTTATAGTCAGAAATACTGATTGAAAAGTGAATGTAGTCAGCCATCTTGTTGACGATACGTGTCGTGAAAGCTGTTTAAATGCTGTATTGAAACTGTCAGATTGGATGTTATTTTGTACATTCATTTGATGATTATTGGCAGCCTTGAATAAAATGGAGACCCCTTAGTCAAAATAAAAATGCATATTTTGACAAAGAAATTAATCTAATGATTACAACTATGGTCAAAGAAATCAGTGATTAACAAAGTGGTTATAGAAATCACTTGTTAACAATTTCAGTAACAAGAAAGTTACTATACATTCATTGAAAAACCAGTAGAGTAGATGGTATATATTTCTTAACTTCTTCTGTCTCACTCTTCTGTTGCAGTAGTTGCCTTTGTTACAACTGTTATTACAACTCATTTTGTCACATTCAGTGAATCAAGAATTGACATCACTTCACTTGGGACATTCCCACATGTGCTCCATCCCCTTCTTCAGTAGCCAGTAGCAAGTTGTCATCCTAATAGTACCAGCTGCAACCTGATTAAAAGTCCACCTTTGCTTCCCCTTTAATGTTGAGTACACCCCCCCCCCCCTTTTTTTTTTCCTTCCTGAATAATCTTTCAGTATATGGATTCCCTGTCACGTTATTTTAACACATCATGGCTGATGCTCTTAACTCAGCATAGAAAGTGTGAGATAGAAAATGTTTAAGTTAGAACTGTCTGGATCTAAAAAGTTTACAGATAGTTTAAAAAACCTTAAATTATGAACATGCAATAATAAATAGCTTGCCATTTCTTTAAAGGGAGTGATAATGACTGAAACAGAATAACTCACTGAGTAGAATCATTTCAAGCTTTCACTTTTTTAATCACATATTGTGAAAACATAATGGCTGTTGGGAAATATATTTTGCTGTAGAACCACATGCATTTATTAAAGAAGGGAGGTCCATTTTCATTGGCTATGGATTAATAATGTCTTTGTAACATCTGGTCATTGATTGGTTAGACTGACTTTCTACAGGTTTAATCAGGGGGATTTTTCTCTTGTGTGT